GGGACTGGGCATCCCACTACCGGGGACCTAATCACTCCGCGAGGTGTAGCCAGACAGTCACCAGGCCCCGGCTGCTGTCACCCCTTGAGCCAATTAAGCAGAGACGGGTTGGCTTCCGTCCGTCTGTCCCTCCTTGGTCACCCCGACAGCCTTGCTTTCTAATCAAAGCAGCGGCTCCTTTTCCCGGGACTGGCTGCGTTAGAACAGGTGAAAACTCTGAATGCTTTACAATCGAGAAAAGCGAGATCTGGAAGGAGCCTAGAGCAGCTGTAAGTGGGCGCGGTAAGAGGTTAGAGGTCAGAGTCCACATGAGACCAACGCCACGCGGCAGCAAGGCCTGTGCCGGGGTCGGCAGGTACTCGGGCCCAGGTGAGGCCCAGCGCGACCTGCAGGGGCACCGACGGTGCACGGGGCCGAGACACGCCCTCAGCGGTCAGCAGGTTGCTTTGCTTTCTCTCCCCTGCCTTTCATTCGAGCCCTTTAATTGGGGCCATTTGTCATTTGTCAGGAGAAAACGACGTTGACCTTTTTGCCCAACAAATTTTTACTGTTTTTAAAAACTAGATGGACGTGTGGGACATTTTCTCAGCCGTTCACCATGAAGGGAGGCATGTCTGGGGAAGGGGGCGCCTCCTGGCCCAGCCGGGGCTTCTCAGACAAGAGCTCTCACTCAGAAGCCACGAAAGCCCATCGCCCACCGCGGGCTTTCAAGGCAAAAGCAAGTGTGGCCCAGTAGTCAGTGCATCTCTGAAGCAAGTGTTTGAGGCCCTGCAGCCCCCCCTCCCATCCCCCCAGCCCAGGCGAGCAGCTGCTGTTCTCAGGGGCCGCGGAGCTGGGAGCCCCCGGGCCAGAGGGCACACGTACGGAGCAGGTGCTGGGACCCCGCGGGGCAGAAGTTGAGTCTGTGCAGGTCGTTGATGGAGTCCACGACGTACAGCTTCCTGTCCTCGGGGACGGGGATGCCGCGGGAGCCCGAGTCCCGGGGGGAGCGGTGCATGGTCCCTGGAAGAAAGCACCGGGTCAGCCGCGAGCTGGAGGCTGGAGAGTGGCAGCCCGCGGGCAGCAGACAAGCTGGCAGAAAGCCCCCCCCGCCCTCCCCCACACACACATAGCATTTCCAGCGGCAGGTCCGGGGAAGCCGTGCTTGTCCAGGGAAAATGTTTCCTGTGGGGACACCTTTGTACTGTCCTTTGCCCACCAGGCTGGGAGGCTGGTGTGCAGCGGGCGCCTCCTACACCCTGCGTATCTGCACGCCCTCTCCTCCTCCTCCGGCATCCCCATCCTGCCTGTGTTTTTCCTGCCCCCACCCTTCTATTTTGTAATCTCTATATATAAAAGCCCAAGGAACCGTTAGACCATTCAACCATTTGACCAGTAGCTATGATGCGCACTGACCACCAGGGGGTAGACGCTCAACGCACAGGCATGGAAACATGGGGCAGAATGATGAATCTCAGAGGGAAGGGGGAAGGGGGAGGGCGGGAAGAGATTAACCAAAGGTCTCATATGCACACCAGAGGCCCGGTGGGGTCCCTTGGCCTGGCCTGCGGGGATCGGACGAAACTGGCAGGCCGATATCCCCCAAGGGGTCCCGGATTGTGAGAGGCTGCAGGAAGGGTAACAGTTGATGGCTCTGAGGCCCCTTTGTTCGAGGATCATCATTCCATGCACTGGGCCTCTAGTTGATTATAAAATATTTCCCTTTCATCCACTGTTCACATTCTGGTGAGATGACTCAAACCCTTTGTGTACAAGATTATGTCTAAACGTCGGGGAAGAGCAAAGGCAGCTCATCGGAGGAGGAGAAAAGGACCGTAAACCTTCCTAATCGCAGAGGTTTCCACACGGGCGTCATGTCCATGTTCTCCCTCAGGACAGCATCTGAGTCTCCACCTAAAATGTGCTCCTTTTTTCCTTCTTATTGAATGTATTGGGGTGACACCGGCTAACACAGTTATACAGGGTCAGGTGCTCAATTCCACAGCACGTCACCTGTGCACTGGCTTGTGTGTTCGCCACCCCAAGTCAAGTCTCCCTCCATCACCGCTTATCTCCCTATACCTTCCTCCACCTCCCCCACCATCCCCCGCCCCAGCAGTCACCACACTGTTGTCCATGTCCGTGAGTTTTTTCCTTTTCTGTTCAATCCCCCGCCCTCCCCCGCAGCTGTCAGCCTGCTCTCTGTGAGTCTGTCTCTGTTTGGCTTGTCGGTTCATTTTGTTCATTAGCTTCCACCTATGAGTGCGATCACGTGGTACTTGTCTTTCTCTGACTGGCTTATTATTTCACTCGGCGTAATGCTCTCCAGGCCCCTCGTGCTGTCGCAAAGGGTGAGACTTCCTTCCCTTTGCAGCTGAGTGCTGCTTCACGGTGTGAATGTCCCACAGCGTTTTCATCTGCGGACAGGCACTGGGGCTGCTCCCGGATCCTGGCTGCTCCCGGGTCCTGGCTGCTCTGATTGCTCTGCAGCCACTGGAGGTGGCGGTGGTCCCCGGGACAAACCTGAGAAGCCAAGACCTCAGAGAGGAACCCTGCGGCTTGGGAAGTGACCCAGGACCTCTGTGGTGTCCCCCGAGCTTCCCCAGACGGAGGCCACGGACATCACGAGGCCTTTTCAGGAGGAGGGACACGCCACAGGTAATGTTCCCTGATGTCAGCACGACTGCACGCAGCACTGAAAGCCCGAGCGGACTGAAGGTCTATTTTAGGCTTCTCTCTGGTAGGCAGAGGCCCTGTGGCCTTCGAATTAATTATGTGAAAAGAAGGCACCCGGCTGGTGTGGCTCAGTGGTTGAGGTTGACCTATGAACCAGGAGGTCACGGTTCAGTTCCTGGTCAGGGCACAACTCGATTCCCAGTAGGGGCGTGCAGGAGGCAGCCCGTCGATGAGTCTCTCTCATTATTGGTGTTTTTCTCTCTCTCTCCCTCTCCCTTCTTCTCTCTGAAAACCAATAAAAACTATTTAAAATACCTCTGCTCCTTACAAAAGTGAAAGTAGTATCATATAGAACAAAGGGGCTCAGAGCCGTCCACTGTTACCCTTTTACAGAGGAAACCCAGCCCTGCCTGATGCCATGGTCACAGGTCTCTAAACGATGCCTCTAGGAATGTTGTAGACTTTGTTGCCTCTTTATACGTTATTATCCCGAAGGCTGGTGTTTGAGGAGTAGTTTGTGTGAGTCACATCGGGGATCATCACTGCACACTCGGCTTCTATTTTAGGCGTGTGACTCAGTGAGAGGCATTTGCTTCGCGTTGGGATCTGACTTCATATCCTGGACCCCGAGCTCCCCCTCCAGGGATGTAATTACTGTGCTTACATCTCAGACGGGCTTCATTGGTGTTTGCAAAGCAGAGGACCAGCTAGAAAACCGTGACCACAAAAACCGCCTGGAGACCAGAACAGCTCGTAAAATCTCCACATTCCTGGCCTGGCTACAGACTCAAAGGGTGACTCAGAGCCACACCAACCCCCACAGCGCGGGGACACGGTGCAGAGCGAGCCCTAAGGTGCTCCGAGGGGAAGGGTCACCGTGTGGAAAGACGCTGTCTCGAGGCATTTCTACACGAACTGCAGCAAGCGAATGGCAAATCAAGAGTCAGCAGAGATGCAACAGCATGGATGGAACTGGAGAGCATTATGCTAAGTGAAATAAGCCAGGCAGTGAAAGAAAAATACCACATGATCTCACTCATTTATGGAAAGTAAAGAACATTATAACCTAATGAACAAAAAGATAGATACAGAGGCAGAGAAGAGTGGAACAGACTGTCAAATTACAGCGGGAAGGCTGGGGAGTGTTGGGGGTGGGGTAAGAGATCAATCAAAGGACTTACTGCATGCATATAAGCATAACCAATGGACACAAGACACTGGGGGTCGGGTGGGGTAAGGGGATGCGCTGGTGGGTAGGGGAGGCCAGGGGAAGGTCAATTGGGGAAACAAAAGGAGACATGTACTACTATTTGTAATACTTTAAACAAGAAAAAAAATTAAAAAATAAGACATTGAGTAAAAAAAAGAAAAAAGAATCAGCAGAGAAGGCTGTGTTGGGTGTGCGTGTGGCCGCCAAGATCCTGCGTGGGACTCGCCAATACACAGACACGGGGTCACGTGCCCTAACACGCCCGACCCGGCTCCTGCTCGCTTTGCTTCTCCACACGAGCACATCTGGGAAGGACCAGAGGGCAGGGGAAGCAGCCACTAAATTCTGCATCCCCAGCGGGCCCTCCTCCCTCCTACCTCCTCCCGGGGGCAAGCTTGTTTGTAAGTTTGTAAGTAAATGACTGACCATAGCAGCTCCTCTTCGCAGAACCCCCTGCAGTCCTCGAGCTGACACCTGTGGTTCCCTCCACTTTAGGTCACGCTAACAGCTGACAGTTGAGTGTCACATGGGAATGCTCTGACTGCCCACAAAGGAAGATGGTGGCAAAGCTAGTTGTCGAGGAAACACGGGTTTGCTGTCGTCTGTATTTCCCCACAGGCCCTTGGCATCAAAGCCCGCAAGAAACTCGCTCAGGCTGCTGCCCGATGTCGGAAAGGCTGTGAGGGCGGATGCGGAGCCAACGGGAGCTCAGGGAGGGAGTCGCTGACTCCTCCTGTGGTGCCGTTTCAGAGCCTCTCCCTGGTCACATTCTGTCTCGGTCACTTCTCTCCGAAGCTGGAAGCACAGAGCACATGCAGCCACAGGCACCCCAGCACGCAGTCCCCTTCCCTCTCGCTAGTGACATCGCATGCACATTACTTACAAACACAGCTCTCA